TCGGGGCCACCTGTCACCACTGCAAGAGCTCTATCCCTTGGGGGCTTTAGGGAGGGAAGGGGCAGAGCCTGAGCTGAGAGCCTTTGATTTCCTGTTTTTAAACTGCTGGGCTGATAAAATGACCACAAATGAAATGATTTTACAAACTACAAAGTTCTCTGGAGCGCAGACTCCCTTGGCTCCCACCCTTCGGCGCAGAGCGCTGACCACCCTTGCTGGGGTGTCTTTAGCTCAGAAGGCAAGGGAAGGAGGGGTCCCACTGGCACGTAGGTGGCTCTAATGCAGAGGGAAGCCCCCCCCCCCCCGGTCTGCTCCTGCAGCGCAAATATCAGGATGCCCCTCAGAGGCACAAACATCCAAGCCAGGCTGAGCACGCAGCCTTCAGCCAGTGCTACTGTGAGGACCTTAGTGGGTCGTTCATCTGGCCCCTTTTCAGGAGAAGCTTTACATAGACAGCCCAGGAACATGCCCCCCACCCGTGATAGGACAACTCCGGGCCACCGCAGAGGAGCACAAAGTCTCTAGTGTAAGATTACACTGAGACAACAACAAAAAGAAAACAAAGATACCGACCTGGCATCCTGCAAAGAGGTGGACTGGGTACAGAGACACACACAGGCCTATGAATTTAAAAGGATGCGATCCTGTAATCCCAGCACTCAGGAAGCTGAGGCAGGAGGATCGCTGTGAGTTCAAGGCCAGCCTGGATGACACAGTGAGGCTGTCTCAAAAAGACAATAAATTAAATGCTCTGCCTCCAAACTTTCAGTCACCATCACGACACAGCTGTCTAAAATTTATTCCAGTGAACAAGGCAGAATGTGTGATGTGAGCTCAACTGTTTTTTCAGTGTACACACAGACACAAACTCGAGTCTAAAAGGAAATCCAGCCGTGCCCTCAGACGTGCCTTCCACACAACCTGACGGGGATTTTACACAAATGATTTTGGTGGACTTGTTTGTTTGTTTTGCAGAATATTTCTAATGCCTGTCCACTTGGCTTCTATTTTGCTCCCCGTTTTGCCGTCCTGGGGAGGAGCCCCTGGGGTGCACACACACAAGGGCTGTGTCGCGCGTCTGTTCTGACCACGGCCCATGACACCAGGCCAGTGTGGGATTTTCCACTTGACATATCAGGTCTGTGTGCAAACTGGCCAGGTCCTGGGGCCCTTCGGAGTTCAGGCGTGGTGGTGCCCTCCTGTAAAGACGCTCCTCCGTAACACAGAGTGCCGGGGGTGCGAGCAGCAGAAAGAACAGAGGACCGTCTCCCTTCTGCCGGGCTCAGAGTTTCTAGAGCGAGCACATACTACTCTTGCAGAGGCCCCGGGAGCTTTAGGGCCCACCTGAGGGAGTACAAGAGCAAGGGACAGCCCGGCCACCAGCTTTCAGTTCACTAAGTGACAGTAAAAGGAAACGGGGGGGGGGGGCCTCCTTGGGAGATTTCGCTTCTCCAAACAGAAGATTTTAAACAAAAGCCCCGGGGAAGGTCACAGTGCTCCTCCCGCTCAGCACAGATGCAGCCCAGGGGCCCTGCTCTGCCCAGCACTGACAGCCCCATCGGAGCGGCGCCATTGTCCAAGGCGGCAGGTACTCAAGACATTTGATGCCAGGGGATGAAATCCCACAGGTTGCGCTCATACAGGGATTCAGACACACAGCCACAAGCCGCAGGTACCTGGCGATCTCACTGTGGGGGTCGCAGGAGGCCTGCAGATGGCCTGCAGGTCACAGGTGAGAGCGGCCAGGCTTCCTCTGCCTCCAGCCATCCAAGGGCGCTGCCTTTGGGCCGCGGTGAGAGCTCCTGTCTGGTCCGAGTCCCAGGGGACCTCAGGGCCCAGGAAGGCAGGAAGCGAGCCCACTCACAGCCAAGGGTCCTGGCCAGGCCTTCTGGGCAGGGCTCACAGCCACCTTCACAAAACCTGGAACACAGCTCTACCACTGGCTTTAGCAACCGCATGCATCAGACAGAGCTTATCGTATAGAGCACCTACTATGTGCTGGGTGCTGGACACAGCATACGCATTGGGGGTGGGGGCCAAAGCCTGGGTCTTGTCCTAAAAATTTCTTAATGAAGACTATCCACCCAGAGGGCCAGAGACTTCTAAACAAAACCACCTAACTGACTAGGTCAGCGGTTGCTAAACTCAGTGGCGCAAGGGACAGCCAATTGTTCAAATTCACAAGTTACCCAATCCTGCAAGTGAGAAAGTCCCGGAGACAATGGGCCCAGATTGGAATCAGAGAGCACAGCCCAGCCCTGCCAGCTGCCTTCTCCCGCTGTCTCTCCTCCTCTTCCTCTGCAGACACCAGTGAAGCCTGGCGTCCGTTTCTTCTGCAAGGCTCCTTCCTATGCCACCGACAATCACAACTCCGGCCAGAGGGCTCCAAATGTTTAGCAAGGCTGTGCCACTGTGGTTCCCTCTGCCTCTCCCAGGTTGACCTGGACAGACTGCAGGGCCAGGCTAAGGGTCAGCTGCCTTTCCCATAAGCATTACACCAATACTGCTGCGAACAGCTTTTAAAGAAATTCACGTGTGATGGCACACACCCTACTTCCAGCCCTCCAGGAGGCTGAGGCAGGAAAACAGCAAGTTTAAGCCCAGCCTGGGCAGCCAAGGGACTGACTTAGCCAGACCTTTTCCCAAAACAGAAAATAAAAAAGGGTTGCAGATGTAACTCAGTGCAAAGACCCTATGTTCAAATCCCAAGTACTGAGGAAAGAAAAACAGAACTCTTAATCATAAGAAAAATTATTTGACATCAGCTGAACAATGTAAAGAGATGAACCAAAAGAAAATGTTTAATGTGGATTTCAAAGCACGTTTTATGCCCCACGTGATAAACTATTACCAGGATAACAAACTATTACTGCGTGGTTTTTGTGGAACTATGTGCAGTTTCCAATAAGGAAGACCTTTCCATTGAACTATCTGCAATTCCACATTCAATAGAATGTTTCAGAAGTAGGGTTTGCTATGTCCTAGGGGAAAAAATCAGGAAATTATCCTTTAGAAGTGTGAATACTAAACAAATGCCATTTCCCAGGAGAAAAGCAGACCAGAAAAAGAAGAAAAGGAAGGAGGAAGGAGAGAGATGTGCCTGGTTCCAAATGTCCAGACTGAAAAGACCAACAAGACAGCCATTCTGGAGACAATATCCTAAGGAGAGCTGGAAATTCTAGCAAAGTGCCAATTACCAGTTGTAAGTTTTCTTTACAGTGTGTGGCCAGGCAGTTACCGCCTCACTCTGGGGGGTGGGGTGCACAGAGGGGACTTGCACAGGACCCTTCACAGGTACAGAAAAACTAAAGGCCTTCCTGCTTCAGGCAGACATTCATTCCTGTTCCCGGCATTTCTGTAGTTACCTGGCAGGCCCTGTCCCAGCCAAACCTGAATAGGTCTGGACACATCTCCAGAGCTGAGAGCAAATCATCAGGCTCTTTGTCTAAGCTGCTTGAGCCCCATTATGGGTACACACCACCCGTCCCCACAGAGTTTGGCCTGGTCTTCAGCCATCCTGGGACCTGGCTCCCTGAGATGCCCGTCTGTCTCATCCTGCCTGCTGCAACCACTGCCCGGCTGCGGAAAGGCAAGCGAGGTCCATTTTTAAATTCCCTTAGAAGTTTCACAACCACAGGTTTGAGTGAGGAGACAACAGGGCTCTAGTTTGCTGACAGGAAACTAAAAATACCCAGCTGCGAACAAAAAGCCATCTTTTACAGGGCTGGCTGGGACGCTGCGAGGTTCCATGCGCTCATACGGGACTGGGACCATAGCCTGGCGGCCTAGCAGGGCAGAGGAGCCCTGTGTCCCCGCGGCTGTCAAGGAATCTAGCAGCCGGGCCCTGCCTGATGGCTGCGGAGAAAAGCGTTACTCCTGCTTCCTCCAGACGCAGGCTGGAAGGCTCCGGAGCCCTGGCTGCTGGAGTGTTAGGTACACAGGGAAAGAAGAAGGGGCGGCAAGATGGAAAACACCAGCCCCAAATCCCTGGAAGGAAATGTTTGCACCTCCCTCCTCCTTGCAATTAGAAAAGCAAATTATTGCTGCGAGAAAGGGAACTCGGGGGCGTCAGAAATGGATTTCGCTGCCAACGTGGCCCGGGGGAGGTCCGCTGCGAGGAAAGGGAGGAGGGGGTCCCAGGGACCCCGGGCTGCTTCTGGGCCATTTCTACCTGCTGGCTAAGGCGTTCCAGGGCGCCCCTTGCCCCAAGATCTCAAACTTTCCTTCTGTCCCTCGTCCCTCTCCTCAGCCCGAAGAGAAGCAGGACTCTGCCTGAGCCCCGCGGAGATCGAGGTCGGAGCCGGGGGTTCATTCCCACGTGGCCGGGGAAAGGGGGGTGCTCAGAGCCCAAGAGGAAGGGATCAATCTGCCGGTCAGCCCGGAACCTGCTCAAACTTTCCTCCCATCCTGCGCTGGCCCGGGAGTCCCAGCTCTGGGTCTGGGATGGCGTGGGGCGGCGAGCGGTGTGTGTGTGCCCCCGCCGCCGCCCCCACCCCGGGAAGCCATCCGCAGGCTTGCAGCGGGGTGCACCGTGGGGTGCGCTGCTAAAGCCCGGCGCCGGGCGGGCAGGGCCAGGATCGCTCCCCACCTGCTCCGCAGGACACGTGGGCGCCCGGCGTCGCGGTCCGCAGAGACGGTGCTTCCCACCCGCAGGGTCGGAGTTTTCCGCTCCTCCAGGCGCGAGCTCCACGTCTCTCTACCACCTCGCACCCAGGCGTGGGACACAAAGAGAAAAAGAAAGGAAAAGGAGAAGAAAAAGCCCCAGCACCTCGGCCCCTCCGGGTCCCCTCAGCAGCCCGGCGCCAGAGGACACGCAGGGCTACCCGTCTCCGACCCCGTCCCCGTCCGCATCCCAGACCCCGACTCCGACCCAGCCGGGGACCCGGAGCGGCCGGCGGAGGCTGAGAGGCTGGAGGAGGCCGAGACAGGCGGAGCGCGCGCGGACAAGCAAACATCCAACAAAACCAGGCGAACGCGCCCCCTACCTGGGTGCAACATACTTTGGAAATAGAAGATGACCAGGATGAAGGAGCCCAAGCAAGTGGCCAGCACCATCCGGCAGATCCTGCTCATCCTCATCACTTCCAGCAGCGCCGGCTTCATGGCTTTGTCCGGGCCGCGGGGGCCCGGGGTCCGGAGCGCAGGGCGCAGCGGCGGGGACCCCACGCGCACACGCGGATCCCGGGGCGGACGCGGACCTGACGGTGACTCCGGCCCGGCCGGGGATGACGAAGAGAGCCTGGCGCCCGGCTCGTCCTTCGGGCCGGCGGCGGGGGCGAAGGACCGCGGTAGAGTAGCCGCAGCACAAGCCCAAAGCTCTGCGCGGCCCTCACAGGCTCCGGCGCCCGCTTCATCGCGGGGAGCTATATACGCGACCGGGCTCCACCACCTGCGCCCGCGGCGGGGGGCGGGGCGGGGCCGGTGCTGCGCCCACCCCCGCCCCTGTCTGCATTTGGTCGCGTCCGGCGGCGGCGGGAGTCGGGGGCGCGCCCGCTCCCGCTGGGTCCCAAAGCCCTCGGTCGAGCCGGCGTGGCAGGGAGCGCGCGTCGGCGTTACCATGGCAATCCCTAGGGACTCCGATAGTGTCGCCCGTGCGCCGCCCACCTGCGGGTGCTAGGAGAGGGACTCAGAGGGGTGCGCTGGGCCGCTGAGGACATCGGATGGATTTTAAACCCCCAGTTCCCCTTTGGAGACACTCAAGAGCTAGGCGCTGGATGAGGTCAGGGTCGGGGACTACACGCGGGGTGGGTATCCCCGCTCTCACAGCAGGCCCTCACCAAGGTTGAGGGGCGCCCTGCTCGAGGTCTCAAGGGCCGCCCGGCTCGGGGTCCAGAGGGCTGTGCCAACCGGGCTGTCCCCTCCGGGCACTGGTGGGGGTGCTGTTCCCTGAGTGGGGCGAGCTCCACGCGGGATCCGCTGAGCAGCTCGCTGTGAGGACGCTGCGAGGGTCCCTGAGCCGCGCTCGGTCCGGATCCCAGACTCCGCACCGGCGAGTGACAGAGACTGTGTCTCTCCCCCATCTGCATTTGATTAGCTGCTCTAGACTGCCACTGGGAAGGCTCTGACCACTCGTCCCAGTGTCCCCCAGGTCCCTGCACAGGGCAGGAAAATCAACCAGGTCGGTGAGCTTGCCTCAGGGGACAGAACGCGAGCAATTTCAGCAACGGTTTCACTGCCAGGTTTGTTCCAGAAACTCAGACTCAGCCGCACCCACGTGGGGAGGAGCGGCTGCCTAGGGGTGCCCAAGCTACCCCGGTTTTAGTAAAAAATCTCCCTCCGGGATGTTCCCAGGGAAGCTGCACCCCAGCTGCCCTTCCACCCCACGCAGGTAGGGGCTCCCCTCGGGGCAGGGCTGGAGGGCCACAGCAAGCAAGACCCCGGAGGCCCCGCCTGCAGTGCCAGGAGCTAACTGGACTCCTGGCCTGAGGGAGCAAGGACAGAAAGGGGGATACAGTCTGAACACCCATAAGGTGGCTTGGGAGATCACAGGACCTGGCAAGGTTGTGGGTTGTAGAGGTTAGGTTGGGTCACGTGGAGCTGGTCACACCCGAAGGTCATCGAGTTGTTCATCGAGTTCCCACAAGGCAGAGCGGCATGGACCGCACATAAGGAGGACCCAGCTCCCACCGCTCTCCAAGATGTCTCTGGTGTCCCCAAGGAAGTTGCCGCCTTCCTCCTCTGTGCTGTGACAAGGGAGTCCAGTGCCCTCTTGGGCCACTGTGTGCCAGCCGCGGAGCTTTTCAGGACCACACTTTCCTTCTCTGTTTCTCTCTAGGGCCCTGTGAGGTGCACAGCATGGGGTAGTGGCAGCTGGCTAGAGCCTGAACAGCAGGGTAAAGGCCAAGGTCGAGCTGTATATGGACCTCTTGCAAGGAGAGCCACCCCTGAGATCCCCGCAGGAGCCCTTTTGGGGTGCTACCTAGTAAATACGGACAAGACAAAGAGCAACACTTGTGGATGGGACCAAGGAGGACTGAGAAGTTCTGTCTTTTAAATTGTTGGAGAGTGAGAAGACAGATGACAGCCAGGCTTTTCATTCAACCAGCGTGTCAGGATGGCAGAGTTACAGTGCAGTGACAAGCCCTGGGTGCAGCAACTCCAGCCACCAGGACTGACATGTCGCTGTGATCAGCAGAGGGACTGTGTGCCCTCTGCCCCAGTACTGAGGGCTGAACTAGAACTACATCTCCAGTTACACCTCCCCACTTCCTTTTTTGGAACAGAGTCTCATTAAATTGCAAAACATCTAGGCCTGGTTCAGATGGGACCCTCCTGCCTCAGCCTCCCAGTGTGCTGGGATGACAGGCAGGCACCACCACACGGGGCTGGTACTGTTCTTTATTCCTTTCACAGGTGAGGCCACGTGGCTGCCAACAAGAGGACACTTGTGGAAAGGGGAACCCTGGAGGTCTCCCCCAACAATGAGTAACACCCAGAGGAGAGACTCTCAGGCTTTCCCTGAGCCCTCTGTGCCACACTGGGGTCCCTGTGCCCACCGTGTCCCCTGGGGCCTGGTTCCATCACTTTACTCCCCACATTCCAGAGCATGCATTTGGGCCTGCAGCTGCCCAGGTATGTGGGAGAGAAGCCCACCTGGGTGGACTGGCCTAGAAAATCCAAAGCAGAGGGAAAAACAGACACAAAACTTCCAGCCAACCCTGTGAGCCGTACCCAGCAGTGCTCCAGGCCCCGACGACCACACTTTGCCATCCTGCGAGGAGCTGCAGCAACGCCCCTCTGACAGCAGCGGCCCAGCACCTGGCAGACAGAGAGCTCTTTGGCACCTGGGGGCTGCGGCCTGGCCCTGCATACAATGTGCCCTCAGACAGCACAGCGCAGGGGCTGTTTGTGGAGCTGGACTGAAAACCATTTGCCCATGGCCCATGGCGACCAAAGGTAGCTGCAAATCCTCCGGGAGGTAAACCGCAGGCTGGGGAGGAGGGGGCAGGATAGAGGGGAGCCTGCGAGAAAGGAGGAAGGGGTAGAAGGAAGAAATTTCCATGGTGGTTCTGATCACTTCCTTTTGAAATTTAATTTTAAAATTTTCCCACATTTTTATCAGTGCGTGTTGCTTACCAGACCCCATGGGCTAGGTTCCAGGCAAATATTTAACTGGTAGCCCCGGGTCGGCTGCTAAACTCCTACCAGCCACTGCAGCCCCATGCCCCTCCTCTTGCTGATCTTGTTCCACAGGCTCCCTTCTGGGCCGTTGCTGTCTGCCTTCTCCAGAGGAGGAAATGAGCAGAGGATGAGGGTACCATCCCCAGAGCACACTGCTGGGTCCCTCACCTGGCTTATCGGTCAGGGCCCCTGCGCTACCTGCTGTGCTGTCCTGTCCCGCCTGTGGCTCCCTGCTCCGCTCCTCCACTGCTTAGAGGACCACACTGCCTCCGAGCGGCCCAGTCCCTGCTGTTTGTCTGCTCTGCTTCACCCCACACCCGCTCCTCCGCACCACCTGCTGACCCCTTCCCCTTAGCCCTCACTGCTGCTAGGGTGACTGGGTGACATATCCCACCTCCCCTCCAGGCCTTCTACTGCAGCCCTGGGGGTCCAAGAAAGGCCTTCTTGGGAAAATGCGGGTACCCCTGGGAGCACTCTTTCCCGGGAGATGGGGGGGACCTGCAGGGCTTGTGACAGGGTCTTTTCTGGAAGTTTATTCAGTGGGCTCTCCCTGTCGCTGGTCTGCCAGCTCTGGCTTCTCTGAGACAGCAAAACTATCCTAAAGCTCATTCATTTAGGTGAGATGTTAACATTGAATCTCTTCTTACGGTTGAACAGTACTCTGCATTTCTTCCTGGGTGTGCTTGTCACTGATAAACTGATAAACATGCTACACAAGCCGATCCTCACATGACACACACACGCACATCCTCTCCCATGGTCAAAAAACTGAGCCTCATAAAGACCGAGAGCTTTGAGCTGGGTGTGACGGTGCACACCCATCACCCCAGCCCTCAGCGGCTGAGGCAGGACGATCCCAGCAAGTTCCAGCCAGCCTGGGCTGTGTCATGGTTCACAGAAAGCTGGGGCATCATGATGAGACCTTGTCTCAAACGTTAAAAGTATAGAAAGCCTGAGGAGCTCATTCACATTCACACAGCCTGTAAGTGGGAAGCGGGGCAGGACGTGAACCCAGGGCCAAAGCCTACACATCCTGGCCCTCCCAGACCTCTTAGCCAGATCAGCTCCACAGCAGCAGGAGCCAGAAGGCAGAGCAGCCAGCAGGCAGAGTTCAAGGTGGGCTTCTCCTCCAGCTGCTGGTCCGCCCCTCGGCACCCCCAGATTTTGGAGCCCCTCCTGCCTGCCTTCCTGCAGGCCAGTGCCCCTGAGCCAGCCGGCAGGAAAGAAACAGCGCTCAGTTGGTGAAGGGTGCAAACAGTTTCCACCTTTGTCTTTCATTGCCCGGGGCACAGCGAGGAGCAGGCTGCGGCAGCTGCTTACGACCCTCTTTCTAGATGAAAAGACCCTCTGTGAGCCTGCTGACCCCAGCAGGGACCAGGCAGCAAGACCAGAAAGAGAAATCACTCGAGCTCCCGTAGCCAGGCTTCCCCTGAGCAATTCTGGTGTCACATGTGCAGTGCGAAGGGTATTTGTTAGACATTTATCCCTAAAATGTAAAACCCCTGAATGTCAAAGGGAAGTGAGCAGAGTGAAGCAGCAGGTAAAAATGTGAGAAGGGCTTGTTGAGACAGGAGAGAAGGACAAAGCGTTTCGCTTCTTTGCTACACATAAAAGGAGCCCGTGGCAACAACTAGGGTGACCCCGCTAAGCCTCCACTGGCAAATGGATGAAAGACGCAGGCAGACTTTGCACAAAAGAGAGACGGCTGGATGATGACATGCCATCATGTGCAACTTCAGGGCTTGGGGAGGCAGACCTCGTGGTGAGACTCCTTTCTTTCTCTTTCTGTCTCCCTCCCTTTCTCCCTCCCTCCTTGCATCCCTCCCTCCCTCCCTTCCCCCCCCCAAACAGGGTCTCACTATGTTGTTCACCCTGGCCTTGAACCCACTACATAGCCCAGGCTGATCTCAAACTCACAGAGACCCTCCTGCCCCAGCCTCCTGTGTGCGCCACCACACTCACAACCTGACACCATTCTTAAGACTATCAAAGTAGCAGAGTTCTGCTGAGTAATACATTGCCCTAATACATTGCCCTGGATGCTAGGAAGGGTGGAATGGGAAGGAGATGTCTACGCCATGCTGGGAGAAGCATCTTGGAGTGTGCTTAGGAAGGTGTCTTAGTCACTTTCTCCATCACTGGGACAAAATGCCTAACACGCATAACTTAAAGGAACAGACATTTACCTTGGCTCACTGTGTGTGAAGGC